CCACGTGACAAACACACCAAAGCAAGCAAACTGAAACACTCTCTTTCCTCACACTGTCACTTGCTCTTCTTTCAGCCTGCCTCAACCAACGCCCCAATGTCCTGTTCATTCAAGAATGCACCCGAGCGTGCATCAGCGTGCATCCGACAGCCACTGCGGCTCCTCGCCGCTGATTTTATGCAGGGTGCATGTATTGATTAAAGATGTGCACTGCGCGAAGATGCCTGAAAAATGCGGCGCGTCCTGCGGGGTGAGTCCGGAGTTTGCAAGACCAGCACTGCCAAGTAAAATCGACGAGTGATCACCTCAACTAGTCAAGGAACAACTGTCTCTGAGTTGTGGTGAAGTGCTGTTATGAAGCATGTGCGCCACTGAAAATTGGGGCCAACTGCCTGCGCGGAGATCGACGACCTGCTGCTGTTAAACGTGTAGCTCACTCATGTCCACAAAGCCGCACGCACAAGCTTCCAAACAGACTCTGAAAGAGACACAGCATGCACATAATATGTGCATGCTATGTCACTCTGATGTCAAAACAAGCGGATTCGACCTCTGTCAGCAAGTCCTGAGGAAAGTGTATACAACGCATCTTTCCTAGCTAGCAGCTACAAGAAGGCAGCGGACACTGCATCCACCCGACGATCATCGCACTGGTGCGGGTCACTGTCACTCAGAGATGCGTGACCACGATGACAGTGCTACAGCTGAATCCCAACTCTCTGAACCGCAACTGAAACTGAGTTGACCTGAACCACACGGATAAGCAGCGACCAAGACAACATCACCTGCTTAACTCGATGACCAAAGCTTTCAAGTGTCCTCGGCGCTGAGGGTTGCCGCCATGCCTCGCAGTACGGGAGTAAGTAAGGAGGGAGTCCGGGAATCAAGACGTTTTTCTCTCTTCTAGGGCGGGTCATGGTGGATCCTTCGGTCCATGTGCTACCAAATGTTGCTCACAGCTCCTCTCCCGATGAGACTTGCTGAGCCTCAAGATGTCTCATGTCGCAACCGAGATTATGACCCACCGGTGAACCACGTTTTGTAGAGCGTTGTCGACGCATGCAGGCTTCAGACTTGTTAGTTCTCCTAGCACCTCGGACTCTGCTAAACACTACATGCACTACACTACACCTTCGCACGCACGCACACACACGCACGCATCACCAGTCGCATGGACTCCTCGAAACAATTCGCTGACAGTACAAATCCGCAAGCCTTTGCCCATCGCTGCTGCCGCTGAAGCCCTGTGCACTAGATACACCGACCAAACGATTGAAGAGGAACAGCACGGAGCCGCATGGAGCAGCATGCAGCAGCATGGAGCAGCATGGAGCAGCAAGAGCGACAGCGGTCCGCAAGTGGCAGGAACTACTGGTGCCAGGGACCTCTGTAAGATCATGGAAGACCGGGATCTTACCATTACCATCAACAGTGTGAAGACACGAAGACTTTGAGAGAATCCCGCAGTCCTGACGGCTGCAGCACCGCGAGCCGCCACTGCCTCTCAGTGAACACTTATTGAACTTGAGCAACAAAGACACTAAAAACAGCAACAAATCCCCCAAGCATTTTCGATCATCCCCGCCCTACAGAGCTGCCTAATCCATCCTGCCGTTTCTCGCAGGCTTCTGTCACGGGACTCTCCGTGGAATTCTTTGAGGGCGGGCACTCCAGGGGCTCTTTGCAACACTATCTTTGGGTGGGCACTCCAGGGATAACATGTAACAACCCCACCGAGGGCGGGGAAAGGGCGTGGAAACATGTAAATACCATGCAGAAACATCCTGCCAAAATGTGCTGACGGATATGCTGGCAAAACGACGACGAAATAACAGAGTCCGATGTTTCTCATTGCCCCAATCTCAAGCACAAACTGGGCCTCGGAGCCCGGACGACGACCCCCAGGCAGCGACACCTCAGTACGCAAAGGTATGCATGGCAATGTAAAGGTATGCATAGGCATGCAAGCGACAATCATCGAGAACCTGTGCCCTGAGGACTTCACCGCACCTCCGATCAGCTGATTCGGGTTTCGGGCCTCAAGCCCGACACAGCGTGCGAGAAACGTCGCTCGGCGCGTGCGCCGCGGATGGACTGATTCAATCGGCACTCCGAAACAGCCAGAGCCCGAGCCTCACCTGCACTTTGCCCAACTACTCTGCGCCAATATGAAGATAGAAAATATTGGTGAATGTTCTGAAATGTTCCGAAGAATATTGATGATCTGTGTACAACAACGGCTACAGTTCTTCAGCCAAGTGACTTTCAACCGCAGCAAAGCCTGCAACGAAACGGCGACGAAGGCAGAGAAGGACGTGTCTGCTAAGCTGGAGATCGTGAAGGGATAAGCTACTATTTGCTTAAGAACCCCAAAAAGAGAAAAAAAAAAAAAAAAAAACAAAAACAATCCCTATATTACAGTACCGGGGTTCTTAAGCAATTAGTAGTAAGAGAGGAGGTGGCTCAGCCAGAGAGTCTCCTTGGCCCGCTTCTGCTCGGGGCTCTCCTTGCTGGACTTGCGCAGAACGCCATCCTGCGGGTGACGTCGGCACGGGCTGTCTCACTCAGATCACTCAGAATTCAAAAAAAAGGCCCCCCCTCGTCTGGCACCCAAGCACCCCAACGATGAAAAGCCTGGAATGTTCAATTAAGGGGAGCAGCGCGATGATTCGACAGCCCCACTACTCGATCAGGTGCGTTCATTCACGCCACAAACATCGCATTCACACATAGCGCAGCAACACTGGGCTGCCGCCGAGCGAGAAAGAGAGGGCGGACGAACCCGCGCTTGTTCATGCATACACCATCGCATTCGCATGCCAGGGTGAGGGCACAGTCTGTATTCTGCAGGCCTTCCCTACACATTTTCCTGAAGTCTGGGTCAACAGCTGTCCTTGCCAATCTCGCTGGCTGCCGGGGCAAAAGCCAGCTCGCTGAGGCCTTTCCCCCATATTGTACCTGGCGAGCCCCCATGCACAATCTGCCGGCCTTTTAATCTCAAGATGTCGTAATTTGTAAACATGTCTCCGGATGAAAGCATTTGGGCTCTGTTGCTTTGTCCCAGCATGGAGAGCCCCTGCCCTTCAACATGTTTGAAAGATGATACGGAAACAAAGCACGCTCGTAAAGACATGAACGCAACGGCCTATGCAGCTGCCAGCCACCACCACGTGCAGGCAACTTCCAACCTTGGCAACCGTTCCCTTCGTTCTTGGAAGGCACGGGCGCTGGACCAGGTGACTAGGACTCGCCATTCCCTTTCCGTCAAAGGCTCGCTACAGCAGGGCGTAGCCAACGAGCTTCAAGGAAGTGAGAATGCATACTATCATTTTCTAAGACGTCCTGGATACTAGCTCTCCACGAAAACCTGAACGATCGCTGCTTAGCTTGGAGATTGTCAGACTTCATATCTGCAGCTGGGAAGCGTGCAATGAGTGCAACGATTCCTTGTCAGGAAGGGAGTGCTGTATCAGGGTAGCAAAGTTGGCACTGTAGAATGGTGAAGCCTGGCACACAAGCTGTGCCAAGTCAGCGTGCACCTGTTATAGTATGCCACGCATGCTGCTAGTATGCAAGATTGCAGCTAAGTTTCCACTGCAACCGGGAACTCCAGGACGCTGTTGTCGGAGATCCGCGTCCTTTGAGCTACAAGACATGACATGACAGCATGCCCATGCACTGCATTCGCAAGCAGAGCCGAACAGCTTGCTCTAAATTGGCAAATCGGAGTGTTCGAAGATGCCCTAAACCCTAAACCCTAAAGCCCTAAAACCCTAAAACCCTACAACCCTAAACCCTAAACCCTAACTGGGATGACTCTGGGAGCAAGACCAGGTCGAGAACGGCGCCTTGCAAAGCTTTGGAGAGCTCCGCAGTACCGGATGCTCTCGCGAGCCGCCTTGCGTGGTTTGGGCAAGGAAGGTCCCGGCTGAGCACGGAAAAAAAACCTTGAGACTTTCTGTGGATCTTCCTTGGAACCCCGCCTCAAAAGCTTTGCATGCATCTGTTTTGCACAGTGCTCTGCAGCACCGGGCTCTCCATCGAAGGCCTTGCCAGGCCGCAAAGAGTCGCATGGACTGTCGACAGGCGTGAGAAGATCGCGAATCTAACCCGGGCAATGAAGACAATCCCTGCGCGCCGGCCTGGAGGAGAGCTGATTCCTCCTGTACACATGGGAAGCAAACGCCCTCTGAAAGGATGAACCCCAAACGCACGTGATGGCCATTCCCTACACGCACGCGGAGACACACACACACACACATAGACACGCAGACAAAGGTAACACACATCCAGAACAGGATTCCTGCGTCGCCAGGGGCTGCTTCATTGCGGCTGCCACCTGCAACACTCCAAGCGCGGCGTGTGTCGAGAATTGCTTGCCATTGCCTTCCTCTATCCGGCCTTGCCGAGGTCACGAATCAGAACATGTCGAAGGGGCGCCTTCCACTGAACGGTACCGTGGACTGAGAAAAGCGGTCTGGTTTACGGCCCAGTTCCTGGGTCTAGCCATGGCTGAAGCCACGAGTCATGTGTGTTTTGGATCTCTTCTTCTCTCATGTAAGTAGCCACCGAAAGATGCAATGGCCAGCAGGCTACCTTCGTCTTCGCATCCGCCGCAAGCGTACAGAAAGCATCGATCGCCAGGATTGGGGCTGCCATACGCTGCCAACACACAAACCTACACTACGTACATTGTCCCTGCACCTGTGCTGCGCAGTTTGCAATCCAAGAAGCCTGGTTTGCACCGCAACGTCGAAAACACCGTTGCAAATGTGTTAGCCTGGGCTCCATGCACATATCCTGATGAGTCCTGATGGCTGTTCCGGCGAATGGACGGCATGAGCCCATAGGCTGCGTGGCAAAAACAGCTTCTGCACAAAATTCATGACATTGACATTTGATGAAACCTGCTCCTGCCACAAGGAAAAGCAAACCTGCACAGCGTCATGAAAGCAAATAGTGTGATGTACAGGGTCTGCTTATCACCCTTTGCTGGATGCCTGGCTGAAGCTTGTAAGCCTGGCAACCAATGCTGCACAGGAGCTACATGCAAAAGGAGCTGCATTTAGGCGGGGATCCCCTGAACCCCACGCCCCTCCCGTGCTCCGAGGCTGTCCCTATTCAAGTTCTTGCATTGCCTTGGGATGCGATGGCGGTGGGCCCCTGGATCGATTCCGGGGGATTCTACGGGTTTCGAACAAAGCGCTTCCCAAAACACACACACACACACACACACACACACACACACACACACACACACACACACACACACACACACACACACACACACTCATGGTTTCCCTAGCCGATCCCCGCAACCCACTGACCCTCACAAGCGGAGCTTTCCTACGTCTTTCAGTAGGCCCTCTTGGGGGGGCCTCGGCGTTCCCAGCCTTTGCTCTTGGCCGGCCGGACTGCAGCCCCAAAGGCGTCGAAGGGCCTTTTCAGACCCCTCGGAGCGCCTCGGCCTCAGAGCTCAGGACATCTCGGAGCTCGGGGATGCAGAAGCACCGAAAAGCACCCTGAAATATGGTGTCAATAGGGCTTCAAGGCAGGGCACCAGAGGGGCGCTCAGGTGCAAGCACTCCGGTTGGAATGATGTCACACTGTTCTGCTTCAGGGCCAAGCCGAAGCTAAGGAAACCCAGCCCCCCTCTCTCTCCCTCACCTTTGACAAGTGTCTACGCGACGCTCGCTTCACGCGGCCGTGCGCCGCCGCCGCACCCCAGTCTTGGCTGGATCTTTAGCTCTGGATCGCCGTCTGCGTGCGAGGATTTTTGTACGTCTTCTCTCAGTCGTATGTTTTGGATAGCTCTTTAGATCCAGATCGCGGCCTGTATGAGCGTACATGTTTCTGAATCGCGTGCTTTGCTCTTCAGATCTAGATCGCAATCTCGGCGGGCACATGTTCGTACGGTTCTCCGTTAGAAATGCCCTTACATGCATGTATTCCTTTCAATATGGACCCCCGCCGTTGGACTTCTGGCCTCGAATTCGGTGATACTGTCAACATTCAGCCCCCCTCCCCAGGACTTGTTATTCCATCAATATTGACTGACCACCCCTGCCCAAAAGAAAACAACAATAGCTAATAAGGATTGATACAATCAATATTACGCGACGATCGGAGGGGTTAAGTAGCCTAGCTCCCCCTAGCTTTCTTGAACGCAACTCTGCTGTGTGAATCTCGAAGCTTGGGGCCGGCGCGCTGTCCGTAGCCGAGCCCATCACCAGCACCATTGTCAGGGTTGTTCCAGTTCAGGAAAAACTGCCTGCGTGTTGCCATGTCTCACGAACCCATGACTCTCTGTAGCTGAGGGTGCTCATTGTAGGCCCCGTGGGAAACACGGCCTGTATGCGTGCTTAATGAGTAAGGGAGTGACAGCTGTGCAGGCCTGCTTGGCGTGGGCTTTCATCTATGTATGATAGGCCAGCAGGTGGGACGGGCTCCTCAATGCAGGGAAGCCAGTACCCCTGGCGAGCCTGACCGCCTCCTGCAGAAAGTCCCAATCTTTTGGCGGGCGACCAATACTTTGCGTGAGCACCTCAATTGAACTAGATGAGGCAACGAGATGAATCCTCTGGAAACTGTGATGCTTGTGGAAGGATTGGCAAAGCGAAGAGAGATGGGAGGCAGAGGCATCGGAAGAGATCTCAGGTCATCTACGATTTAGTTGCCATACTCGAATATCGGTCTGAGGCAGCGACTGCTGGAATGCAAGAGAATGGGTGCTCCTGCTGAAATCCAGAAACACTTGTCACTGCAACTGTAGAGAGCAGCGTGTCTGAAGACGCCGTTAACTTTTGGGGAGCCCGTATACGTCCCCAAGGCCGTTCTGATAAGTCACCCGAGCCATGTCTCATCCCGTCTTGGCTTTCGCTCCTCGCCGAACGGTGCAACTAGCTCCTGAAAGAGCTGGACCTCTCGCAGGTGCTTGTCTAAGTCTTAGTGTACTGTTTCGGTGAATGCGAGGCGCTGATGGCTTCAGAAACAGGTCAGTGCTGCGACGCTGTCCGGATTCATGAGGTAGCCCTGCAATGCCAAGTGCGTGAACAGCACCGCAGTACAAACCGCACAGCTCAGACACGGCGAAAACAGCTCTTTTCTCAGGCGAGGAGGTGCTTCTTTTTCGAAGTGCCTCCCTCACGTGGCCTTGTGTCACTTGATATCAAGCAGCAGAATGTATATGCACCAAGGATCTAGATTTCAAGGTTCGCGTCTTCGCGTCCGCAGGTCACGCCAAGGAAGACTGAACTGCGTCACTCAGATGGAAGCTGCACTAGAGGTACTCCAGACAGATTGGGAACTTCTTCAGATGCTCAATAAGGTACCCCTCCTCTTGGAAGCCACCAACTTGACATGAAGAAAGGAGATCGCAGCCTCGGCTTGCTCCAGGACCGAGTAGGACTTGTTGACCGTGCCTTCTATCCAAGCCCTGGCGCCAGCGTCGCACTGATGTGCGGGTTTCCGAGATTAGGGGTACCTTGTTGGGGTCCTTATTACAAGGGAATCTTACGATTTGGGGACTATATTCGGGGCCCCATATTTTCCTAAACCTCCATATGTGTCCCCGTGTCTCTTGCGGTCATGGACGTGACCTGTGGCTTGTGTACGCGCTGGGGGTCAAGCCACTGCAGTGGCCAAGCAGGGTTGGGTCGAAGAATCGCAAAGAATCGCAACAGAAACAAACCACAAACGATGATTTGAGAAGTGCGACTATTGAAAGGACGAATTGTGAACTCAAGTTGCTCTCGACTTGTACCTGTTGGCAGCCCTCGGCCTGGTGAAGAGCTCAACACGCTGAAGGTCTCCCATCCTGCGATGAGCAAGCAGGGAAAAGGGCGAAAAAAACGCGAAAAATGCGATCTTGGTGAGTCAGTCGGCGTGCGCTCGGAAACAGATGCCTGGGTGCTTCTGTCGCTTCCTTGAAGGCAGACTCATGGCTGGTCTTCAATGCCTTTGAAGTCAGTGTGGCCGGACTCTCGCATGTCATACACACACATTCTCTTACAATCGCTTACACACTAGGCAATCAAGGAGCACCGACACTTTACAGAAAAAGGCTGGAAAAACGCTTTGCGCAAGTGACAAGGAACGAGATGATCTGCGGTGAGAGGCATCAAGCAACCTGAATCCAAGCCAGCCTTGTAGAGCTTGTTTCTGAGAGGCCTTGCAAGCTGCGTGCTCAAGACTTGGGCTGTGCCCCTCTCAAAAAGCGCCGTATTTTTACGGGTCACCGTCAAGACCCTTTGGCGCAAAGCGTATAAGTCTTATAAAAGGAATGATGAAGCGAAGGAAGCTTGAAAGTGGAACGCTGAGCTGGCGACTCTTGGTCCGGAATCAGGCCGCCTGCCGAATCCCACATGGCCTCGCGGAGGCCGCGCACAACCCTCCGAACAGATGATGAGCTCGGCGAGTCCCGTCCGTGCCTTTTCAAGGAGACATAGATCCATCAACTGCTCGTACCTGCACAAGAAGAACGCCAGAAGAACTCCTGCACTTTCCTGCACCGTGTTGAGCTGCAGACCGCTCATGAGCACTCTGCCAGGGCACTTGCCGTTGAGGACCGCCTCCACTTCAGACCAATTTGCACCTAGTCTTTCATCCGCGCTTGGGCAGAAGATCATACAAACACTTGACACGTGGCTATAAGAGGCTACAAGTGAAAATATGCATAGGCGTAGGCCACAGAGGTGACCTGTTGTCGCTGAGGGCCGCACGCTGCCCGCTGCCTGTGTAGATCTCCCAGAAAGACATGCCGAATGCAGAAGTCAGGTCCATGTCGAAGAACCTCCACACAGTGCCGTACAACTCAAATTCAGCTGCTTTGCAGGCTTTGCAGGTCGAAGGCAAAAGCAGCCCCCCATAAACTCGGGCAGTGACCAAGGCTTGTCTCCGCACGCAGCAGTGAAGCCTCGTACATAAGAAATCATGCCGCATGCTACGCACAGCTATCACCTGAGATGCAGTTCTGTCTGACTGTCAATAAGAATCCTCAACTGTGCCGCACGTCATTTCGGTCGTATAGCCCTTCCCGACTCATCGGGTGTGAATGTCGCACCTTCGATGAGCTCACATCATCTCGCATCCATATAAACCCCAGTAAAACCCAGTCGAAAAAGCCCAGTCTAAAAAGCCCAGCAACCTTGCATGGCTGTGTCCACAAACTGCTCAGCCGCCTGAAAGCACTGCAGCTGAGGAAATCTGCTGGACACGTGTTGCACTACGTTGCCCTGTCCCCACCCCATCCACCCCAACCTGGTGCCACGGGAGAGTCAGCAGCTCAGGGGCTTGAGCTCCTTTGTACAAGTACCTGCGGCAAAGCTTCGAGGGCACTTAAGGGGCTTACAAGTGGGTTATAAGTACAGTTGCAATTGGTTGATAAGATTTAATAAGTACCATGAACCTCCATGTACACCTGCAACTCACAGAGGTTCCCCGAGCCGGTCGCCGGACAATCCGCTTGCAGAGTTCGACCTGATCCCAGTCTTTCTCTTGATCGGCGATCTTCTTGGTCGCCTTCCGCGGATTCATTCAAAGCAAGCGAATACTCTCGATTTATACAGGGTTAATGTCGAAGTTTTGGTCACGTGCTGCATACCTTTGGGTTGTTTATGAACTGCATATTCAACTTGTCCAGATAAGAAACAAAGGCCGAGTTTCCAGCTTAAGTAACTTAAGTGCCATCTTTAAAGCGAAAGTGAGGGTTCAAGATCGATTGAAAACATGCATTTCGAAAAACTCAAAAACCAGACGTTTCTAGGGCTGCCGCTCTGCTTCAATGTTAGGTTTCGAGGAGTTTAATCAAGGCATCCACTTAGTTTTTTCACCCCGACCATTCCCTCCATGCTGGTCGCTTCGGGCCACAAACACCAGACCGCCCCCCCCCCCCCCCCCCCCCCCCACCTCCCAGTCACCTCATTGGACTAGATCAGCATATTCCTTCGGAACTTAGCTCGAATACACACGCTTTTCGTTTCCAAATCTCGGCTGTGTAGGCTACAGGCGTTCTAGGCCTCCCAATTCAGTAAGTCTCAGTCTTACAGAATCGACAGGGCTATGATGGAAACTGGAAAGTTGATGGCTGAGAAACCTGGAGAACTCGGCTTTGCACATTTTCGCTTTCCAGTTCTGCACGCCCTCAGGCCCCATCTGGAAGTCTGAAAAGATGGGCGTGGAAGATCTGGAAACTTAGAACTCAAAAAAACAGAACCTGGGCTGGGTCAACTTGAGACTCTGGGGCATGTTGAGATTCAGCATCTGACCGTGCCAAGGACTCAAGAATCCCGTCCAAACAAAGAGACCTGTCCTTGTTGACAGCCTTTTGTAAGGCAGCGTGGACGCGCTCCAACCTGCAATGTCGAGACAGCATTCCTTCGCTCTGCGTCTAAACACGAGCTAGGCACGAGCAAGTTAAAAGATGATGCATGTGTCTGAGAGCAGAGCACTTTGTCATGGGGCTCCACTGTTCCGCGGGTGACTGGCCTTGCACCGGAGAATGGCACACCAAAGTAGCACCACGCACGGCATCCTCCCCACGCTGCAGGCTCCCTTTAGCACCCCCTGAGCGTGCGGCGCATAGCCGCCACCATAGCCCCTGGGCGTCCGAGGAGCCGTTGCCTTGCACCCCCCATTGCATTGCGCGACTATTGCGCTATGGAAGCTATGGCATCTCTCAAAGCATTCCGCGCGCCTTGGGCTGGCTTCCCGGTGAATGCCACTGGGATTGTCCTTCTGAAGTATTTGTGTCTGCATGCATGCTGACGAATCTTTCAGCACCTCCCTCAGACTCTCATGGAACCCATGTCTGCTTATTCTCAGCGCAAGCCCAGCACAAGAGCTCAGTTCGATGCTTGGTCATGCAAAAACTTTGAAGCCAGCAATCAATGCAAACGAGAAACCAAAAACATTTTTGTGCGTGGAAGGAACAAGACACAAAGAAGGAGAGAGCATCTGAGCGATGTCTCCGAAATCAGACTTGGGAGTACAGCTACAAATTGCTGGTGGCTGTCTCAGGGCGAAGGCAACAGCTGAGCCATCGGCGAAGAGGCCCGCCACTCAAGCCAAAGCTACATCGGACCAAGCTGCCCATTTCAGATATGCACAAATGTACCAACATCAAAGCAGGATACCAACACAAGATTCAGATGAGTCACGAGGGCCCCAGCACATGGGCTAGGCACCGGGCCCAGCCAGCCCGGGCAGCTTGGGGGGGAGGGCTGACCGTGGGATTGATTAAGTCGGGGGGGGGGAGGGGTCCCCGCTCCGCCCCCACCCCCGCACCCCAATAGCCAAAGAAAATCAACCAGAGAAGATTCAATAAGACCCACCAAGAGATATGTAAATGAGAACTACCCACAAAGCTCTAAGAAACTATATAGTTTTCATTCGAGACTTTGGCTTCACGACTGCAGACCCGCAATGTACAGCAAGCTTGAAGATTGGCCCAGGCTAGCATTTCAGCCGAGTTGTGTTTTCACTGATGGCACGAGCCTGTCCCACCAGGTGCTTGTCCGTAGCCGTAGCCACCCTGTCAACTGGACAGTGTGGGCTGCATGCACATGAATCGGCAAACCCTAGCCGTCTCTGTGACCCTGCACATAAAGGAAATAACCCCTTGTGGGAACATGATGCAAAAGCCGGTACAAAGACAAACAGGAACACCCATTTCAACTCCAACGACTTTCACAACACCTGCTGTTGACTGACAAAGACATGGCTGAAAGGGACCCTCTGCTGGGCAGGCGCAGGCGTCGCAAATCTTGTAGCAGAATCCGGTGCTGGCCGCACCTTGCTCCGATTCGGGGACGAGAGTTCACGTACACTTGGGACAGCAACAAAGCCCCTCGCGTTCATAGCCCCCAAGCCATTGGCATCCTGATACCTGGCAGCAGCAGCTCACAGCTTGTTCCCATTCTCGCTCCAACATGTGTATGGCAAGCGATTACCCCCGACTGTACGGCAAGTGAGATGAACGCAGAAGACCGAGGCGCAAGAAGAAAGTCACATCCGCGCCGATCCCAGGCAGGTCCTCCTGCACATCCTCACGTCAGCTTCGTCTCGCTGCTATGACTGCCAGTGCTCTGCTCCAACAACCGGATCGTATACTAAACCCTAAACCCTGAACCCGAAGTCCTAAACCCTAAACCCTAAACCCTAAAGCCCCGACTAGCACCCGGCTCATCAGGCCTCGCCGGCCATGTAGATGCGCCCTTGATTCCTCACAGGGCTTCCGCATGGCAGCACACTAAACCGAGCAACATCATCACCAGCACCACCCCTAGTCCGACAGCCACAAGAAGAGGCTCCGCCTGCGAGCTTCCGGATGCTCAATGGGCTGCACGGCCTGGAGCCCGCAGACCAAGCAGTGACCATCTATACAAGTCTGTACATGCACACACACACACACACAAACAAACAAACAAACAAACAAACAAACAAACAAACAAACAAACAAACAAACAAACAAACAAACAAACGCGCACGCACGCACGCACGCACGCACGCACGCACGCACGCACGCACGCACGCACGCACGCACGCACGCACGCACGCACGCACGCACGCCCGCACGCACGCACGCCCGCACGCACGCACGCACGCACGCACGCACGCACGCACGCACGCACGCACGCACGCACACCACACCACACACCCACGCACACACACACACACACACACACACACACACACACACACACACACACACACACACACACACACACACACACACACACCCACGCACACACACACACACACACACCACACAGAAACAAACAAACAAACAAACAAACAACCAAACAAATAAACAAACAAACAAACAAACACATAAACAAACAAACAGAAAAAGTAAAAAACAAAAAACAACGCACATATCGAGTCGAAGCATGCCGAAGCTGACGAGGTAATGTTTTACACGAACCTGGGCATCTTCAGAACTCATATTGCAGAGGTGTCGAAGTGTCCCTTGACACTTCCCACGTATCTGGACAGCTTCGTTGGATGGAACTCCCCGACGTGCACCATCCGCCTGCTTGACACCTGAAACGCCTAAACTGCCTCGTGGCAGAAGGCCCCACAACAAACAGTCGGAAAGACCCATCTCACGAAACATCAACCTGTGAAGTGAGAAAGAAGTGAGAAAGAGTATGAGGGGAGGGGAGAACAGGAAATGCGTACAGCAGACAGCATCCAGTGTTATCATACAGGTATATGAGAACGTGTGGGGAAGGAAATAACAGTAACGATTGACATACTTATCAATTAGAACTCATATTCACGTAAAGCTTGTTTGGCTAGCGCCTTGTCATGGCCGGTCTCTTCTTCCTGTGTCTTTGCTTTCAGACTTCCATGTCCTGTTAACCATGTGTAACTGTTTGACTCAGCCTTTGTGGTATATTCAGTCTAGTTATAGTAGAAGCACGCAATAATTTGTGTAAACGTATTGTTAATCTGCGCAGTTTGACAATATTCTGTGTAAGCAGCTTAAGCAGCCATAGTTTAAGAGTAGTGTAAACATATCTCGCTTCTGTTTACATGTTAAGGCCATTAAGAACCGTACATAAATCACTCATGTATGTTGCATATGTTACCTTTGTGTTACTGACAAGTACACTATAACACCTTGCAATTGCGGGCACAATATACATGAGGGAACTGTATGACAGAACTGTGCAAACAACACCCAGAATTCACGACAGCATGTCATATAGCAAAGGAGCGCATACAACTGCATTCTATTTATGACCTGAACCAAAGCTGTATATAGCCTAGTATAAAGGGAAACGAAGCAGAGTGACACATATATAGGCTTGACACACAAAGTACGCCCACTGATGATCCAACATCCGAAGCATCTCAGAAAATTAAATCTGTCGCCAGGCAACACGTACGCCGTCACGGGGGGGGCAGGGGAGAAGCTGCAACTTAACTCGTTGGTGCAAATGAATCTGGCCCTCAATTGAGGCCAGGGGTTCAGGGCGCACATCAAAACAGAAGCATTCTTAAACCCAAGTGAAGACAAGGGCGGGTGCGGGTGCCCCAGAGGCCCTCTCGAGGCACCCCCCCCGCCCACCCACACCCCTAGATGGAGGCTAACGCTTCAGGTAGGTGGGTAACCGAAGCCCTCTTCGTGACCGCCTAAGGAGGATACAGGTCGAGTCTAAACATGACAAACACACATGCTGCTCTCGGATGAAACATCATACGGCAGCTACCAGCATGGGGCAGCCTACCGGGTATCGCGCCTGGATCCAGCCGAAGTTGCCTTGCCTGCCAGCTCTGCACAGGGCAACAGTCAAAGACATGTGCCGTGTGCGCGATTGGCACAAGAACAGAACGCGCATGCTTCAGCCTTACCTCAAACATCTGCAACACGGACAAGAGACGAAAACATGGACACAAATACAAACACCGTAAGAAAAACAAGCAAGCAAGCAAATCAATGGCCAATTCCAGCATAAGCTGGCATGAAAGTTTGGTATGGGACATACTTGTGCTGTTCAGGTCTGCTGAGATGCACGGGACACTTTGCTGTTGTGATGGTGTCCTGCGGTGTGTGATGCGCACTTTCGCTTCGCATGATGCAATTGGCACATACAGCCATTTTGTGCTTCATGCGACTCGGCAGTCAAAGTCTGTCAGCAATGCCCGTTTGCAGAAGTACGCGCTACACACAGAGTAGGATTCGCCGTCATTGTTGCCAGTCCTAGAGAGTCCTAGTCGGCTCGACAATGTGTCAGATGCGTCAAAGCGCTGCCCTCAAAATCAAGAACCCCTGCTAAGGCGGGAGAAACCCTGCACACACAAAGCCGCGAGCAATCGACAGAGACATTTGCAAGATCGCCCACAACAAAAAGGTCATGGAGACACGGCGAAACTCTGCAACCAAAGAGGTGAGACGAGGGGGGAGGACTGCAGCATGATCCTGCCCAAGGATGCGAGCCGAGCCACCAGTCCAGGACTTGGCCAAGCACGCGCTTCGTACCTGGTGCTTGTGGTACCTTGTTGGTACTTTTACAGTACTTTCCATCCGACAGACATCTCGACATTTGGAAGAAAGACAGGCGCCCAGAAAGCCCTTTAAGACTTTGGGGTATGGGAGGGCACTGACAAGCCTTCTCTGCGGGGGCTGTGGGCCACGTCCTCAAGCAGGCAACTACAAGGTCCAAGTCGCCCGTGAACACGAAAAAGTTGCATGTCAGATTCGTCCTTTAGACGCACCCTTCATGGCGCAGGATACAGGCCCGGTGTGTGGGTGGACTTGTGTTTCAGATTGGCTACATGGTGGTCTGGTGGTCTGTAGTATGCCATCTGGCATCAAGGCATACCTAGCGAAGACCAACCGCTCTCTTTTCGGAGGATGCCCAATGTGGGTTTGCTTGCGATTTGGAGCTTTGGAACACCACATCACTTGTTGAAATCAAAAAGCATGAAGACATGACATGCGTACCACTGTTCGGCTAGCAAGCTCTTTAATGCGGAGGCCTCCTGAATGGTCGTGCATCATGCCTTGCCCTGGAGCTGCATCTACTTGCGCTGAGCGGCTGAAAGCGAGCACTTTTGCATCTCCAAAGCAGGACAAACACGCTCATGACCCTGCCTTCGAAGAGTGACGACTACTGCCGGGAATGGGTTCTC